AGTGCTGCCAGCCAGGGCTGGTCAGTGGGAATGGGGGCTGAAAGGCTGGCATGGGATGTAGTGCAGGGTGGAGGCAGTCTGGGTGGGGGCAGGTACCTCAAGATACTCCTCAGGAACCCCTCTGCTCCTGGGGGCTGGCTGTTTCATGATTCACAATGCTGTTACCAGTTCTGCTATCTCTGGAGTTTCCAAGATTTTTGAAGCAAGAAGCTTGGCATGGCACAGACTGCAGGTATTTATTTGGTGCCTGAATGGAGCTGTTTGTCAGCAGCTAAGCCTAGCTCCTTCTAGGAAGGAAGGGTGAAGCCAAAAGTACCAAACCCAGAATCTGCTTTGGGCAGGAGGGTAGAATATCTCTCAGCACTTCGGGATACATGGTTGGAGAGTTGGAAACAAAATCTCCAGGCTAGGATGTGGGAAAGCTAGTTTATATTCCTGATCTGCTGAAGAATATGCCCATATCCCTGGACAAATCACTTAATCTCCCAATGCCTTAGTTTCCCGTTAGCAAATGATACTCCTTATCTTTCACCTCTCATCTCAGCAGAGGAAAGAGTTTGTCTTTTAGTATATATCTCATTACAGTTCTTTGTCCGGTGGTTGGGGCCCCTCTACCTTGATAAAATAAGTAATTGAATTTAGATTAAATGGTCTAATACAATCCTGCCCAGTGGTTACTGAAACACTTGAATGAAAGTTCATTCAGAGCCTGTCTTCCCATTTCCTCATAAGGCCAAGACATGAAGTAATTAGATGTAGACATAGGTTGTTATTGTAGCACAATGACAGAGATCGGTGGTTATTGGTAGGAATGGCTTTTATAATCTAGTTTAATGGTCATTTACCTTTCAGTGACCTTGGTGTCAGGCAAAATTGGCAGCTCTTTTGCAAGGAATGTGCTTCCTCAATGAAGGCTTTGCAAGCTGTTTCATTTTTGGCTCTAGCTTCGCATGAGCTAGGATAGACACTGCTGCAATGCAAGAGACTTTCAGCCTGCAAAGAAAGGCACAGACTCCTGCCAAAAGAAGCCCTTTCAGTGCTGTCCTGCTGCCACTGGATTGCTGTTGGAACAGATCAGTCGTGTTTAAAGCATCTCTTTGCTTATTGCTGCGACCAGTGTAGCAGCCTTCAAACTGAGAGAGCCTGTGCTGGTCAGGGCAGCCCAGGAGTTTCTGTAAAATAGGTTGCATTGTCTTGGAGTAAAAGAAGGGAGAACATATCTCATCATCCAGTTAAGTGTGTACAAGAAGAAGGAGCTGGTGATTCTGACTGTAACCCCCACCCTGAAAGCCCTTATTACATCAGTAAAGATGTGATATTTCTTTATTTCTATATATTTCAAAGTACCATCTTTTCAGTGATGATCATCCACTCAGTGAAGATGCAAATCACTCAAGTTTCCCATTGGCTGTGATGCTCCTATACCTCTTCCATCATGTATTGAGAAATTCCTACAGGTTTTAGCCAGTTACTGATGTCTGTTACCATGGAGAAGAACATGACATGAGCTGTGCTGTGATTTCTAGTGGTACCCCAGGTCTGTGGCCGTGCTTTTAGGGAACTGGAGTAGGTCATGTCCTGGTGCTTGAGGGGACTGGATTCAATGCAGGTATTCACAGTGACCTTGGCCAAGCCTCTTAATTTTTCTGACAATCTACACCTTGGAGGTAATCCCTGTTTTCTGTGTAGGGGGCTGAATTTTTGTAAGATCTGTGAAGCTCTTTGTTTGAGGTGGTGCCAGAAATATTACTTGAGTCACAAAGAAGTGCTGTGAGAGCTGAGAAGAGCAATACGGCAGTGGAAAAAAGTTTTAGAAAAGCATCTGAGAATTTCTCTGCCTTATGCAGGCTTAGGATTCTGTCTACTTCTCATCCTGCTGCTTACAGCCATACGATTTTTCAAATACTTTCCTTGCATCTGTAAGTATTGCCCTGCAGAGCAGGAATAATTTCTTTATGTGCTCTCATTTTTGGACTGCTAAGATAAGGAGAGTAAAAGCATGCAGCTGGGAGGGAGAAGCGTTTGCCTCAGGCTGCTTTGAAAAGCCTCCAACCTGGTTTTACCATGAGCGTGTTCCATACATCACCAGCACAGCATGATAGGTCTGTAGCTGAGACCAAGCAGTGACTTCCAGCACTCAGAATGCTGAGATGGTTTAATGTACAAGGGCTCTCAATTGTTTTTAGTCCTATTGACCTGCTGGGACCTGCTGTGATAGTGGCTTGATCGGAGGATCTTACAGACCCTCATGGTATTAATTCGTTTTACTTCTCACATTCATCAGTCTCTGGTAAGTATTAGCTTGTTCTCCCTCTGATGGGAGAGAATGAATGGTGAGTGGAGGGTTTTTTTTGCAGGTATCAGGTTTGGATTGGGAATGCCCAGCTGAGATCAGAGAGATACTTGCATAGAAGCAGATGGTTTATATACTGCTTCTTGCAGAAGAAGAGCAAAACTAATTTCTCTTGTGTCCCTGAAGTCTGAATCCATTGAGGTCTGACAGAGTCTTTCCACTGACCTCTGTGCCCCAGGATCACATCCTAAATGAGCTGCTTTGAGTCACTGGAAGCCTGAGTTCAGCTTTGGTGGGCTGGAAAATGTAACCTACTGTATGGGCTGTGCTGTTCATAAGCGCTCAGCCCTGTGTGTGTGCTAGCTGTGGATGCCTGGGAGAAGAATAAAGTCATTTTCTGCAGTCTGGGGGTGGAGGAGGGAATGGGAATTGTACCCCTGTCCCTGCAAACCCACTGTAATGACAACTATGTGGGCAGCTGTTGGGAGCTGTCCTGCTTCTGGAGCTTCAGATTAAGGTTAGATGTCCTTGGTGCTGTTTTTTCTGATATCATCCCTGACACATGAATGTCCTGTGCAGCTGGCCTGACCAGCAGGGCTTTACCTCAGTTTGAATTTTCTGAAGTAGGCCACTGAAGCAGATGAGTATAGCAAGTCTGTGGTTTACCCTGGGGGGTTTCCTTAAACTTGGAAGAAACAGGGTCCCTGAAGCTTTAGAGAAGTGTGTTGTGAGTAGGTTTGACACAATTCATTGCTTATTGGCATCCAGTATTATTATCTGCAAATGCTACCTGTTTCCTCACAGCTTATGGAAAAAAAAGCTGCAGTTTCATGAAGTGATTCTTGTTTTCTCTGGGCAAAACAGAAGCTAGCAAAGACATTTGAGTTAACACAGCATGATGAAGGTATTTTCCATTCCCTACTGGTCCTAAATCAGACCAGAAGAGATTTAATCTGGTGTAGAGGGTATAGAATGATGTGTGAATAGCTACAAGTTGATTGGTTCCTCTGGAGCTGTTATTGATTGATCTGGAGTCATTAGGCTGTTTTACAGTCAGGTCTGGTGAAGATTAATTCCGTTTGAGAGCGGTAGCATGTTTTTTTCAATTAACGGCTAGCTACATAAACCTTTACAGTGTAATTTATTTATCGATCTTCTAACATGTATTTACTCCAGGAAGGTTGCCTGGTGGCTAAAGATAGGTGAGTAGGAAGGTGATGGCTTTCTCCTCCTTTAAAAAGGTCTTTGTGATCTTAAATTTAGTAGCTCTTTCTAGAACTGCTCAGATGCTTTGTATTATGAATCCAAAACGTTAACACTTTCCTAGTTCATGGGTGTGAACTGTGACTCACAGGAGCTCCATGGGATCCCCCAGTGTGGGAACGCTGTAAGGAAAGGGAAAGGAGGTTTGGAAAGGAAGCTCAGGTTATCCCTGGGTTCCCTGGTGGAGTGCTAAGGAGTCACTGCCTGGTTGCAGGGTGGTGGTGGCAAACCCAAGCTTCACTGCCCATCTCCTCTGCAGATCCTCAGCCCCAGGGAGTGATGGAGAGGGGCAGCAGGGGAGCCTCCAAGGGGCAGGAACAGTCCCAGTTGGCTTTGGCACGTTTTCCCTACACACTGTCATTCTTGCGTGGCGCTTCCTCTCTCCACATAATACTCTGTTATTTCCTCCTCCTGCCCCTGCTGCTAATTAGGCCACGATAAACTCTGGTGTGAACAAAAGCAAGCAATTAAGAGTCTGCTGCTCCAGCGTGAGCCCTGTCAGAGCAGTGATTTGTTGGTGGCAGGGCTGTGCAGCACGTCCTGGGCAGGAAAACAAACCCATTAGCCTGGCTCAGCTGCTGGTGCTGCCAGTGACGTGTCCCCCTGCTTGCTTTGGGGATGCAGGGATGCTTTGGGTGCAGCAGGGCTGCCTGAGGCACTGGGAGATGCTGCTCAGTCTTGTGCCTTCAGTTGCACGGGATACAGTGGTCTGTGTGGTCACTGCCCAAGCATGGTGGCTTGAGAAGTTACTGAATTGTGATTCATGTATGTGAGGAGGTGATGGTTTTTGTGTTTTGTTTTTTGGTTTTTTTTTTTTTCTTTTTGGAATGCACACATAAACATTTTCAAATTAATACAGACAGAGAAATAATGGTAGAATGAAACATAAAATTGTTGAGTGGTTTGTGCTGGAGGGGACCTTAGAGATCATTTAGTTCCAACTTCCTTCTCATGGGCAAGGACATGTCCCACTAGACCAGATTGCCTGGGCCCCATCTCTCCCCAATAAGGAGGAGGCTTAAAAGGAGGAAGCAAAAAGCAGGAGTTTTGTTGGTCCCAAGCCAAATGAGGTTTGAATGATATTTGCCAGGACTCAAGGTGCATATATCAAGACCTTGCAAGATGCTTTCATGTAATCTCAGCCCTAATGCTCAAAATCTCCTCAGGTTGTCTTTTCTTCTTCCATTAGGACTTCTTGCTCAAGCAAAGGTATTTACACGGGATTTCACTGATGTGTGAACAGACTAAGGGAAGTTGGAGATTTTTTGGTTTGAGACTCATTTTCTTTCCAGAGCTAGAGGCAGGGTTCAAGCTGGAAAATTAAATATGAACTATTCCTGGGCAGAAAAAGCAAAGGACTTTGGAAAGTATGGAATTAACATCCGTCCTCTTGTGACACACCACCCAGCTGCTTTTCCAACACTTGTCTCTGTTTCTGTTGTAGCTCTTGAGCAGCTGCTCACTGAACTTGAAGATTTTCTGAGGATACTGGACAAGGAGAACTTGAGCAGCACTGCTCTGGTGAAGAAGAGCTTCCTGTCTGACCTTCTGAAAGTCTACACCAAGTCCAGTGGTACAGATGAGGAAAACCAAGGATGGGGTGGTGGGCTGTCATGGGAATTGCTATGGGGTCTTGGAGCAACATTTTCCTGGCAGCTGGTGGGAAGAGGAGACATGAAAATTAGCAGGAGAAAATGAAACTGAGTTTATTTTTGCAGTGAACTCTAATTGTTTATGTAAAATCACTATAGTTATGTGTCCAGCTTTACAAGCAAAGGATTCCCAAGATTCCTGATACTTTCTGTTTTCTTTATTAAACCTTAAGTTTATTTAATCCACTTTGTAAGATACACAGGATGTACTGTTTGGCCAAGTTAATGTTTAAGTAGAAATTTTAACTTACGGAATTTCCTGACCATAAAGCACTTAATTTTTCTGCTTTTTATTATTGCTTGGGATTTTTCCTGCACATTGCCTCAACCAAAGTGCTCTCTCCAAATGTGCTCAGCAGAGACACTTTTTACATCTGCCTTTGTGGAAAAACTTAGCGGTGTGAAAGCAGTGTGTGGGTAAAGAGTTCACTTTTCCCTTTGTTTTGCAGGTGGTGATGAGGAGTATATTTATATGAACAAAGTGACAGTCCATAAACAGCAGGGTGACCAAGAGAAACAAGACAAAGGTAGGGAGCTGAAGATTAATGGTTTCATCGTGTCTCAGGGGATGATGAAGGCACACAAGGTTAGAGCCTTGCTCTGGCAGCTCTGAGGGCTGAAGCAGCTGCTGGTTGTGGAAGGGCCATTTTCATAACATTCCCTTGGAAATAGTAGTCCTTGCCAACACTGTGAGCTTATTCCTGGAAGTAGCACTTTGGAGGTCTTTATTTTGGGATAAAAATGTTGCCTTCTAAGGCTTGAAGCTCCAGTGGCTGAAATATTCAAGGAAGCCTTCATGCTTTCTTTGGCCACAAAACAAGTCACTTTTTGCATCTTTGAGACCTTGAAAGTGTATTTCTGGTTAGCTGTGTTGCTCTGCTCTGGCCCAGAGGGTCTGTGTTGTCACAGCCTTGCAGAGTGAGTTTGCAGGGCTCAGCCCTCACCATCTGCATGGGGCAGAGCACCTTCATCTCCCAGGGATGTGAGAGTTCTGCAGAGTAAAAAGCCGAGAAATCAAACCTAGATAAAATATTCATTTCCAATTGAGTTTTCCCAGGTTTTGAATTTGTAACACGGCAAAGAACATAATTGTCTAAAAATGTTCTTCCTCTTTGAAGTTCACCATGAAAGAGGTTGCTGATGATGGCATGGAGTGAGGGTGTTAGTGACACACATTTTTTAAATGCACACCTAGTCAGGGGCTGATCCTACCCCAGAGTTTCCAGTGCAGAGGGATGAGACAAGGACTCATCAGTGCAGCCTGCTGCTGGTGTGCTGGTCCTGCAATAGTTGGGATTGTTCCACTTCCACAGTTGTTTGTTTTGGTTTTATTTCTTTGTAGGGTGTTTTGTTTATTTGGTTTGATTGGTTCTTTAAACTACCTGCAGCCAAACCTGGCCTAACATCAAATGCCTCTGAAGACAGGATGTCCTCCCAGATTACACGTGCAGCCCCAGTGTGACCTCCAGACAGGGCCCTCTGGGTGATGCTGTAACGCTCTATAATAAGATCACACAGCCTCCCAGTAGCTCCCAGCAGCTGAACAGCAACAGAAACATCTCTTTATATAAGCTCTCATTTGGGTGGATAAAGCAAAGCTTGCACTGATCCACCATGCTCAAACACAGGGAAAATTTCAGACAATTTATTTTTAGAGGTGGCTTTTTTATTTCAGACTTTTCCCTATCAAGGCCATGACCCTGCCCACTCAGTCACTCCCTGTGGGACCTGGCACTTCTCTCTTTCTGTTTTCAACAACCTCCCTATTCCAAGTAAAACTTCTGAGTTATTTGGAAATGCTGAAGTCGGTGAGACACATGTGTGGGATCTTAGCCACAGCTGCAGCTGGGTGTGGAGCCCTGATCCTGCCTCTGGAACTGGATGGGGAGGTGCCTGCAGGTTCAGCTTTAGCAGATGGAGGGGCCCAAGTGCCCACTGGTGTGATATCGATCTTCCAGTGATTGTGCAACTCCCTCTGTCCCTTTTATCTGCTGCGATTCCATGCCTGTAGTGGGATTGGGGACCACACTTTTGTGGCTGAGCTGACAGGACCTCTGGTGCTCTGCAGAGCTTCTTCCCCACAACAGCTGTGCTCAAGTGTGCTCCAGCAGCACAGGGTGAAATGCTTTCCAAAGTCCATCAGCTCCAAAAATCACCCCTCCAAACTTTAAAATACGTAATATCTGCACAAAAATGTATTTCCTGCTCCTTGTATCTACTTGCAATTTCAGCGGTAAGGATTTAAGCAGAGCAGACACTGCTTTTGAGATGCCTTCCTGTGGCTCAGTAATTGAATTCCCTGCACTGGGTGATGAAGGCACCATCATTTGCTGGATCTCATTCACCTGAGAGATGGAGCAAGTCCCTGTCCTGCAAGTCCACGGGGCTCTTCAGTGAGCCAAATGCCATCTCCTTCTGGAAGTCAGCACAAAGGGGCAGGAGTCTGGGCAGTGGGACTGACATGAAGGGATCCTGGTGTGGCCACTGCAATCCTCTTAGCCCAAATACCAGGTGACATTCACTTCTACAAGGAACAGAGAGTAATAGTTAGATGTGGATTTCAGCAGGATTTGGGATGGTTTTTCTTTTTTCTTCCTTCTTCTAAATCCTCTTCAAACTGCAGGTTTTAGAGAGGCATCTTTATCAGAGGACACCTGCAAAATGTTAACGCTTGTCCAGAGAAAAATATTCCTTCCCTCCCACCCCAGTAAGGAGACAGTCTGTGCTTTGTGATGCTGGCGTGTGTAGCTGGAGAAGGAAAGGGTTTATCCATCACTGCACTATCTCAGAGGTCATGGGATTTGGGCACTCTTTGAGGCCACCCAGGAGTTCTGTGGTAGGAGAAGGAGGACTGAGCACAAGTTTTCTGAGCTTGCAATGTACCCTCCAGATACTAAATCACTCTGCATTCAGCTGCTTGGAAAATCTAACTTTACAGAAGCAGACAGATCACTGGAGCACTTCTGCTGCCTTATGCCCATACACGTTTGGCTTGGGCTGCTTCAAGAACAGCCTTCCCTTGAGCAGTGATTGCACTGCTAATCATGGCTGGCTCTGATAAGCCACCGTGCACTTAGCTAAGCAGCCCCCTTTGCTAGATCCATTTTTTGGGAAAGGTGGCAGAGGAGCAGACAGTCACTGACAGCAGCAGGGATCAGAGCTAGCAAGGACTAAAATGCCATGGGTTTCTAGACACTGTGAAGTGTCTGCCCATGCTGCTTCTCAAGACCCTTTAAAGTCTCAGCACTGGGCTTCCCTTCACAGTTTTCCCTCCAAAAGGAAAAACATGCCCTAGAACCAGAGGTCAGTTCTTCTGCTTGGTCACCCAGTGCCACGTTCCTGGCTATGGCCTGAAATGACACGGTGGCCCTGCAGCCCTGCCTGTAATTGTCACTCTGCTCCCCACTGAAATAGCATCTTGCTGCTCCAGCACAGCCCAGGGCAGCAAGTGCTCTGCTGGGAGATGCCACATGTCATCTGTGTAATTGTGTCTGCCTCGCAGTGCTGGATCAGAAGGACTCCCTGACCAATGGAGACTCAGGACTGCATTTGTCACCTCCTCAGAAGAGCCTGCCAGACCTCCCCCCTCCAAAGGTAAGTTTTTCACACCCTTTGCTTTTCACTACCTCAGCTTGGGCCTCTTAACCCCTTGAGGCTTCGCTTTTGTCAGGTCCTGTGCAACATGGCTGGGTGGAAAGACCTCTGCCTGTGTATGTTAGTGAGACAAAGAATCCTGTTGATCTTTATTTTAAATATTATAACAAAACACTGCAATGGGGATTTCCAGCTATATGTTTCATGTTTACTAAGACTGTAGGTCAGTGTGTGGTTGGTGCTGCTGGATGGTGGCCTGGGGTGGCTGGACACCCAGGAACCCCTGTGGTTCCAAAAGCTGGTGCACAGGTGGAGCAGGCAGCTGTGGGAGCTCCTCCTGACTGTGCAAATAGGGCTGTGCTCCCTGCCAGGGAGATCCACACCCACAATGGCCCTCCAGGCTCAAGGACGGAAAAGTGAGGTTTTCAAAGAAAGAGAGGTGGTGATGACTCTCAGCTGGTACTTTGGAAATCTCTCCTGAGTTGTAAATCAACTGTGCCTGGGCTGCTGACATGACCTTAGAAAAGCCAGGAATCCCTCAGCTGCAGGGTGGTGGGGAGGTGCCTGGGCAGTACCAGGACCTCCCTTGCTGCCAGGGCCTTTCTCATTTTGGCCATTACCAGAGGTTTGCTCACAGCTGGAGCACCTGGTGTTGTTTGTGCTCTAGGTGCTGATGTTGTTCTGGTTGTGCAGCCCGCGGGTCTGTGAGGAGGAGTTGCTGGCTCTGTAGATTTTACTGTAGGGCAGCTCTGAGTCAGTTAAACACAGTGGGATGGTGTCTGTGTGTCAGCAAGCCAGCCCAGCTGTCCTAGACACAGGTCATCCTCGAGACCCTGAATGTTGCTGTTTAGTAGTTGATGCAATGTGGGAATTGCTGTTAGCTGGGATTTCAGGATGTGAAAGGAAAGAAGGGCAGGGAGCATGCATGGGGAGGAGGAGGCATGGAGGAGGATGGAGTGGTGCATCCATCAACCACGAAGGGGGATCTGTTATTTTCCCAGGAAGGAGGATGCAGGGTGAGGCCCCAGGACTTTTGCCCAGGGATCTGTGTGGCTCAGCTGGAGTTAGCTGGAGGAGCTGGGAAAACAAGGGGTAGGATGGGATGCAGCTGGCAAACCCTTGGATGCAGTGTGATTGCCTGCTGGGAGCTACTCCAGCCCCAGAGGGCTCTGCCCATGCAGATGCTGGAGCTGGAGTGCCTGGGAGCAGTGGCCGGAGCAGGAATCTCTGTATTTCACTAAATCTCTGTTTAGCTCTGTACTTCTCGGTAGGCAGGAGGTAGAATGAAGGCACCACTGGAGAAGCAGGAGCTGGGTGTCCCCAGGACATTTCTCTTGGGCTTGGTGCAGCCCAGCTTTCTGACTGGGCAATCAGGAAGTTAAATGAGGAAATTTGAAAAAAATATTCTTAGATTTTAGCTGAGAAGGGCACCTGTCTTCTCCCAGACCTGTGCTGGGAATTACTTCTGCTTACCACTGGAGTTAACCTCCCTTGGATGCAGCAGTCAAGTGTCTCCTCACTGTGAGCATCTGAGTGTCAGTGAGCTTTTGGCAGCAAAGATATCCGAGTGTCCTTCAAGGAGCAGGGCTGGGAAGAGCTTTAATGAGTAGAAATTGCTGTTAGGGGGAAATGGATCTTCCCTGTCTGCATTTGTAGCTCCCAGTGCAAGCAGGACCCACAGCCAGCTGGGCAGTGAAGGGTGGAGCACAACTCCTGGCACAGAAACTGGGAAGTTAGGGGAGGAATTCAGATTAGATCTGTTTTAGCTCTGCAGAGTTTTCTGTGGTTTGGTGACACTCAGGCATCCTGTGGTGTTGCTCTACACTTGCCTTTTGAGGCACAGGAGAAATATGGTGATAAAGCTCTGCACAGCAGATTGTCCCTGGCACACACAGACACCAGCAGTCACTGGGCAACCCAACAGGGGTGGCCCACCTGGGTCCACTGATTCGTTTGGATTTGTCCCAAAACAACCTTTAAACAATGAGTTCTGCAGGCCATGGCAGAACATTGGTGACCTCTCCTCTGCTGCAGCCCTGGCAGCTCTGCCTCTTCCTGCAGTCACCCACAGGGAAGGTCCTGTGGTATGGATGCAGATGCCCAAGGTGATTACATTTGCATGCTCGTTGTGCTGTAATGCAGCAGGCAAATGTTCTGCAAGGGCCAGTGTGGTTAAATAATAATATATAGCCTTTGACTTCAGTTAGAGAATAAACCACTCCACACCCCTAGGGAAAGAGGAGGCAAAACAAATACCTTCTGGGGCAGCCAAGGTGCACCCTGTTGGCTTTCATTGTCTGTAGGAAACAAAACAGAGCAGCCCCTTTCCCTGACAGTTGTGGGATGGTGTCAAAAAAACCCACAGCATTTCTTTGTGTAGGCAATTTGTTTATGGTCACAGCACAAAGTAAGCAGGAGGCCACCACAGATGGCAATTACAGGCATATTTCCTAGCCAGGAAGGGGATTAAGTAAAGCCCTGGAGTGCCTGGGTTTGTTTTTGTTTCTTTAATATAACACATTGGGACAAGAAGTTCCTAAACCTTTTAAGTGTTTGGAAGGCAAGTATTTTCCAGCAGTGTTCTAGGTGCCTCTGGAAGGAAAGTTCAGTGTGCTCACAGCATCTGGCAGACCCATGTAAGGAGGAGTTTTAGCACTGGAGAAGTCTGGGAGGTTGGCAGAGCCATGGGCAGCTCGCCCAAATGGGAACAGACTCGTGACTTTGGTGTGGTCAGGGTTCCTCACTCCCACAGGCCCAGCAGCTTCCCTTTGTGGGCAGCTCTTGGCCAGAAAATCTTTTCCTTCAAAGCTTCCTTTCTGCTTCTGGGCATCAGTAGCTGCTGGTGGAAGCATCCAGGGCAGGATGGGCAGTCCAGCTTTGCACCTGCATTTGGTGGTGTTGGTATGACCTGCACATGGACTGATCTTGCCTTAGGCTGCTCTGCTCTGCTGATGCACAAGTGGCCCCTCTAGCCCAGGGAGCAATCCTGGGCTGGCACGATGCAGGATTTGTGACCTTCAACATCCCTGTCTCTGCAGAGAGACCTGATTTTGTGCCCCTCCTCCTGGGGGGAGTGGGGCTTTAACCCTGGGCATCCTGTCAGGGTTTGCACAGCCCCAGCCGGGTCAGGTGAGGCACTGCAAGACAAAACATCCTGGTGTCAGATGGCTGTGGGTGGTTTGACCTTGGTGAGGAGCAGGGACACCTCACTGGGGAACAGGAGAATGTCAGGTCAGGGTGGGAGATGGGATGGCAGGGATTTGGGGAGAACATAAGCTCTGTGCTTGTCCTACTGATCTGCTCATGCTGCTGCTCTGCTGTCTCATGTCCCACATCTGTGTGAATCACCTGAAAAGTAAGAAGTTTGTTTTTTGACTTCATTTTTTTTTCCTCATGTATTGATATTTCTAAAGGATCAAGGCATGTTTTTCCTGCCAGCCCTTGCTTGTGTTTAGGGAGGGGTTTGGCAGGCGCCACAGGGATTTTCCAGCACTTGGACTCTTTTCAAAGGCTTATTTTCCATTGGTGTTGTTTATCCATTTCCTTCATTTTTTGTTAAGAGCACAATTAAAGATTCCCAATATAGTTCCTAAAGCAGAGATTTTTAGCTGTTAGTTTCTATCAGTCATAGACTTGGAGACATGACCAGAGATTGCTCAGGTTAAGTTTTCAGTGTGAAGCCAGGGTTGCACCAATTGTCTCCCTTCTGGTTCCCTGATAAGATAATCCATAGCACAGAGGACCATCCCCAGTTAGGATGGGCAGCTTAGGAGGGCAGCAGGCAGAAATCTCAGTTCAAGGTAAGGCTGATGGGTTGCAGTTGTTGCTATGAGTTGATCCTCCCAGGACTTTCAGCAACATGAAATAAAGTAACATGATGCAATTATACAGTAATTTCAATTTATATTTGAGCTAACTGTACCACATCTAAAAGATTCCATCCACTGGGATGCACTTGAGTGCTAAAAAAAGGGAAAAGGATGTCCTGTTGTTTTGAAGGATGTCTTTTTACCTTAAATCATGTTTCTTTTATGTTTTTATTCTGCAGATTCTGGAAACAAAACAACCTCCGATCCCCAAGATTGAATCCCCAGAGGGATATTACGAAGAGGCTGAGCCCTATGACATCTCTGTCAATGGTATATCCCAGCTAACCCTTGGGGGGGCTTCATGTGGGAGATGGAGGGCTTGAGGTTTATGAGAATCAGTAAATGAAAGCACAGATATTTCATACAGCTTTTGGGACAAATTTGTTTTCTGCTGCTCATCACACTTGATATTACAGACCTAATGCTAGCTGGAAAGCAAAGATTACTGAATTACTCCAATTTTTACTTTCCTATAGAAGTTAGTGATATGCTGGGGTCAATATAGCATCAGTGCAAAATATCAGAAACTATTGTGGGTTCTCTTTGGTGGTTTTCTTGCAGATAGACTGCAGTCAAACACAAGTTTCTATTCAGGACTGAGTGGTGACTTGCCTTCGTGTCCTAGCGCTCTAATTGTCCCCCTGGGGCTCAAAACCCATGGTTCTGCTGGTCTGTTAGGAGTGATAACCATTTTTATAATTGGCTCTTTATTCAGCTCAGTCTCTTGTGGCAGTTGAACCATCTGTAAACTTGATTAGAAAGCCGTGCTTCGTGTGAGGGGAAAGCGTGTGGGTTCCCTTGCAGCCCCTGCCATGTCCTGGAGCAGTGCCACCCGTGCATGTCCCCTGGGGGATCCCCACCCCTCTGGGAGGAGGCTGCTGCATGCTGAGCTCATTCTCAGCGTCCTTTTGCTGAACACCCTTCCCTGAGAGATTGCCTTCCTCTGATCTGATAGCAGAGCTGATCTTGTCATCACTTTATAATCCATTTAAGCCCGTAAAAGATAGATCGTATCAGCCCACTGCAGAAGCAGATCTCTGTTATCAGCCTTGGCTGCAGCAGTGTGTGGCATGGGCAGAGCTGAGTGGCAAGAGTCCAGGCAAGCAAAGCAGTGAGAGTTGAGGGTGAAAGATTTGTATCTAAACCCTTGGCTGTTGAATCTGAGCTTCATCTGGGAGAAGCCGGGTCCTCTCCAGCCCAGTGTGAACTACTGGGCTTGGAAGCTCTGTGTCAGTGACCAGGAAGATGGTGCCCAACTCAGATAGGAAAAGGTTCAGGCTCATTGTGGCCAGGGTGAAAGGTGCTGTTCAGTGCAGAGCAGAGGCCCCTCCAGCTCTGCCCTGTGTTTTCCTGAAAGGCTCAGGGTCATTTGGCTGAGGTGGGGGCTGTGATGCCCTGTGAAGCCCTGCTGCAGCTGGGGCAGCCCACAGTGCTGCAGCCCCACCCCCATGCCTGCAATGTAAGATAAAGGAGATTTCTTTTCCCCCTGCAGCACACCGGGAAAGTGGATAAATTGTTAAGAGCCATGGCATAAAAAGGCATATGGTGGATTAGCTGGAATACAGCCATGGATCCATGTGCTGAGATACCCAGCTTGTGTTATCCAGGCAGCTCCATGAACTTGCCCTCAGTTCAGAGACTTGGCTGGCAGGAATGATTAAATGCACACCCAGCTCCAACATCTCCTTTTCCTTGGTAACCTGCTGCTCTGAGATGCAAATACACCCACCACCTTCTGAAATCTAGGTCAATCAGGTGCCTAAGGAAATGAGAGATCAGAGCTCTGCAAAAAGAGAAAAGCACAAATGATGGGAGCACTGTCCAAATGAGGCAGCTCTGGGTGGCTGTGCGGCTGCTGTGATCAGCTGTTGTGTTTTGCTGAGCACTATCACAGCTCTGAGTGGAGATAGAAGCCTGTGAAGTCGGCAGAGATAGGACAGAGGATTCCAGTGATTCCTCACCACTGAGGTGTGTAATGCCTTTGCATCCTGTGAGTGCTCAGCCACTGGTCCCTTCTGCAGACCCCAGCACATCCCTTATACACAAACCTCCTGGTGTGCTACGAAGCATGTTCTGTGTGAGGAGGAAGGAAGCATCATGAGAATCTCTGTGCTCTTTGGCGAACTCATGTTGGAGGTGTTTCCTTTTGGGGTGAGCCAGAAGGAGCCAGAGAGGTGTAGAGCAGCAGGTATATGGCAGGAGAGGCTGTGGGGGCTCAGGAGAAGGTGAAGTGTGCTGTGCAGAGGGGAGCTGGGCAGTGATGCTGGTGCCCTGGTTTGCCTCAAGAGATCAGGCTGCAGCACGTGGGCAAACCTGCAGGTCCCTATCCTGCCCTTTGTTTCAACAAGCACGGGCTCCCCATTCTTCCTCCTTCTCTGTGCCCTGTCAGATGTCAGTAGTACTTTGTACCCATCCTACACAGTGATGCTCACTGCTAGCAAATGATCTGGGGCCTTGGTGTGACTGCTACTGCTAAAGGGCAGTCTGGACATGCATGGCTTTGCCCTGGCCAAAGGTGCTAAAGCCTGGCCCAGTAACCCTCCAAGCCCTCTATGCCTTTCTCACAAGCTGCATAGGGAGGGGCTGGCAGTCCAGGAAGCTGCTGATGGTCTTTCACAGTATCATGGAATGGCCTGGTTCCTTTAAAAACCATCTCGTTCCAACCCCCCTGCAGTGTACAGGAACACCTTTCATTAGACCAGGTTGCTCAGAGCTCCAGCCAGCTTTGCCTTGAGCACTCCAGGGCTGGGGCATCCACAGCCTCTCTGAGCAACTTGTGCCAGATCCTCATCATGTTTGCAGTAAATATTTTCCTAAAATCTAAGCTAAAACGTGTCTCAGTTTGAATCCATTTCCCCTTGTCCTGTCACTGTAAGCTCCTGTGCAAAGTCCCTCTGCAATACTGTTTCTGACAGCGCTACAGCATGAGCCTTGGAAGACACCCATGTGTCCCCAAACAAATGGGTGTAGCGAAATCAGACAAAAATAGCAACACCACTAAAATAAGTGGGTGCACTGCCAAGAAAGGACATCAAAGCAAGCCTCCAGATGGGCTGGGGAGATAGAGGTTTGCACCAGCAGAGGTGGGACTGCGAGGCACTGCAGCCATCCGTGGGTGAATTAATTAAAACGAAGCAAGCGGGCGAGTGTGCTGGGTCTTGGGTCCGTCTTTCAGCAGCACCATTCCCACCCCTCCGTTGGGGATGCTCTGCTTTTCATTTCCCAGCTCCAGCAGAGGCTGCTGCTTCCCTTCCCTCTTGGGCTGAAATGTGTTAAACCCTTATCAGCAGCCTTTGCATAATTGGAGGGTGGGATAAGGATTGGAGTGAAAACTCGAGAGGGGTGGCGTGGCTGCCAGCTGAGCAATAATTATTCTGGCTGAAACAGCTCCTCAGCCCTGGCTGCTTTTAATTACGATGACAAAGATTCTGTTTTAAAGGGAATTGCCTTGTTTGAGGGGATGGGTTGTAAATGCTGTCCCTGTTTGAAGTCTCAGACTAGGTGTGGCATGCAGGCATGGGACAGCCTCACTGGCCAAGGGGATTGATGCCCTTGTTCTCTGCATTTGCTCATCTGTGGCTTTCTCTCTTTGTCTCCCTTTCTCTTTCTTTTTGACTGTGCAGGTGTTTTTGGTAGGCTTGCTGCGGCTGGACCCAGGCCAGGGTTGCAGGTTACTGAGGGCGTTATTTATGCCACAATAACTATGGGTATGGCATGCTTTCCAAACCTGAAGTGCCTTTTTTAAACAGCAACCAAAAAAAACCCCTAAAATACCCCCAAACCCTCAGTTTTAGCAGATTATCAGGTACCTCCCCCTGGATTTGCCTGTTACATGCATGGAGGTAACCACTTCTCCCTGTCTGTTCTGCACAAAGCATTATTTTTGTGGCTTTCCCTGTGCTCAGGATGACGATGAAGAGGACTTCCCTAGCTTTTATCCCCCTGGTTCTGTCCCTGGTGTGGAGCTGATGGGTGGTAATGTTGGCTGTATTAACAAGTCTGGTGAATGATTGAAGGTGCTCTAGAGGCAAAGGCAGAGTGGGAGGATAAAATGGTCTGATCTCCCTGCATCATGGTATTGATTTAGCTCCCTGGGAGCTCATGGGAAGACCCAGAGGAAAGCAGAGGTGGATTTAGATAAAGATATCCACGACTGTGGATGCCACCAATGCCTGAGCTTTACGATTTGGGAGCCTTAGTGGTGAGCACAGGCTTGTCACAAGCCACCAGGCAAGGCTTGTCCCAGTTTGCCAGCTGCACAGCCTGGTAAATGCCTTTCCTTCGTGAGGCTGTGGCAGTGTCACCAAGCCAACAGTTGCTGCAGCTCCTCAAGTAGGGAAGAGCTCATCTCATGAGGAACCACACTTGTGGTTGTGGCTGATGCACAAAAGAGCATCCCGGGCTTCCCAGGAGTAAGGTGGCAGCCTGAGACCTACTGGTTAAGTGGGTGCATCAGACTTCCAAAAAAGGCCAGAGGGATGGTTAGTGATCCCCATGTGGATAAGGAGGGAGTTTTGAAAGATGAGGCTCCCTTAGGCATCCTTACTGCTGCATATGGAAAGGTCCTGTAGCAGTGCAGTTTCTGCTTCTTGGTGTTTGTAGGGTTGAGAAACGCCTACACTTCTGCTCCATCTGCACAGGGTGCCTATGGACAAAATCTGCACAGTGAGAATGCACTGAGGGGGGTAAAGTTTTTCCATAAAAGATGGACAGTTTGATATGTTGAGGGCATGGAGATGGTGAGGCAGTAGTGTGCTCCATTCAGGGACTTTGAAAGCGAGTACTTGATTTTTAAAAAGCTTGTTTAATTGGTGCAGTTTTGATCTCTTGAGGGAGGCTGTAGAATGAAATTTCACTGGGGGTAAGAGTGTAGTTTTGTTACTGCATTTCAGTTCCTTTTATTTAAAGAATAAATAAACCCAAGTAAAATGTTCTTCAGTGAAGCTCCTAATGTGCCTTTTTCTTTCTCTTTTTTGACTGCTTTTCTTCTTTTAATTTGCACCAATCTGATAATGTTATTTTTATGTAGATAGTAGGATTTGGTGAGAATCCAAATTAGATTAAATTCCAGTGAGAGAAACTTAACAATATTTCCTCCATGCTGTTTTGGTAGAAGAATGTCAAACCCTTGCAACCACAAATGTTTCCCCAATCTTACCATCTTGCTCTGTGAGCTTATCTTGTGACTTAAATGCCAGCAGAGCATTGCAAATCCCCCTGCAGTCAGGAATAAAATTTTCAGTGTTTTTGATGAGCCTGGTATCAGCTGAAAACTCCAATAATCTGCAATGCCTTAGAGCTGAGTATTGAAAATTCCAGCTCATCCTAGTAACATAGCAATCCATTTAAGGGTGGACATAAAAAATGTTGTTACTGCTCCTCACATTTGCCACTTAGGACTAATTTTTGGTACTGCAAAGTGTATTACTTCAAAGCCCCATGGTGTCCCTTAGATGCTGAGCAGAGAGAGAGGGACCTGTTAGACCAGAGAGGGAAAGTGAATGACATCTCAAATACAATAGATCATTGCTTGCTGCATGGCCTTGCAAATACCATTTTTACTTCTGGCATTTAGAGGACAAGGGCTGATTGTAGCTTGCTGTTGCCTTAAAAATTGTGCGTGTTTGGCTTGAAGTGGAAAGTAGTAAAAGCATCTTTGGGGGGAAAGCAGCAAACATCAGGAAATGTCTAAGGGAATGTTCTCAGAGTTGTGGTTAACTGAGAAGTGTCTTTTGAGTGTTTGCTAACAGAGGCTATTAGGCACAAAATACTGCAATGAGATTTGTATTGGGCTAGAAAGAAAAAAGGATCTCGGAGGGTAATTTTCCTATTAATTATCCTCCTGTAGGAGAGCCTCAAAAGACACGTCCCTGCACTGGAAGCTTGTGCATGTGTGAGCATGGCTGAGGGAAGCATTTGACTCAGAGTTATTCTAAAAATGGATTTAATGACAGAGCTTTGCATTTGTTATAGAAGATGGTGAAGCTGTTAGTAGTTCCTACGAGTCCTACGATGAGGAAGAGAGCAGCAAAGGCAAGTCAGCAACCCATCAGTGGCCATCCCCAGAGGCCACCATTGAGCTGATGAAGGATGCCCGCATCTGTGCCTTCCTGTGGAGAAAGAAGTGGCTGGGACAGTGGGCAAAACAGCTGTGTGTTATCAAGGACACCAGGTTGCTGGTGAGCAGATCCTCTCTGTATAAAATAATCTGGTTTTATGAGCTGAGGAAGGAAGTGGCACCTCAGACCATGTTAATGAGCTGACAAAAAATGAAGTACCCCTTGAAGCAATGCTTCAAAAATTATGTCCTGGAGATTTGGGGATCTTATTCCATTTTCAGAAGAAACGTGGGCATGGGATTTCTGAAGGGCGCACAAGGACACATTTGTGACCAAAATCCCAATCCCCAAAAATGTCTAGGGATACTTTTTGGGGAAACTTTTTGAGGTGGTTGGGCAGAAGGGGTATTTATCCCAGAGCTAACCACATAATTGATCCTGTGTCAGTAACAGGTAATTCAGACTATATATGCATGCAGTCCAGTGTATGTGTTCCTGTACATACAGGGATCTCCTGTGTAGACTGTGCAGACTTTTTAGAACTGTAGGACCTTCTTGTGTTCAGTGCACTTAATGCATGCGGCTGCATGAGTCACTTATGGGGCTGAGCTCATGCCAGTGAGCAAGAAGGTTCCTCCTCTGCCTCTCACCTGTTCCCATCTTCCTTCTCCAGTGCTACAAGAGCTCCAAAGACCACAACCCCCAGCTCGATGTGAATTTGCTGGGCTGCACTGTCATTCACAAGGAGAAGCAAGTGAAGAAGAAAGAGCACAAGCTGAAGATCATCCCCACAAATGCTGATGTCATCGTGCTGGGGCTGCAGAGCAAAGACCAGGCAGAGCAGTGGCTCAGGGTCAGTGACACCTTCAGGACTTGTCCCACTGGTGCTGCCATGCTTTGCTGGGAGACCAGGTCTTATCTCAGCCCTGTCCTTGTATGCTCTGGCTCCCTTCCTCACTGCAAGCCTTTATACAAATATACCACTTCATTTTCATGTCCTGGGAGAGATTCTTCCTGCAGCTCCCTGCTGCCTTCAGTGTGCTGGAGGCCACATGGGGACCTGGTAGCCGAGCTGCTGTGGCTGGGGGAGGAAATATCGGGGGTGGGTCCCCAGCATGAATTGGCTGAGGGCAGGGGTAAATGTAGCCCTTCCCCCGAGACATCAGCAGGAGGAGGAGCCTCCTGGAGCCCAGGACAGCCAGGGGGGCTGTGAGACGCCAGGGCTGCCTTTGCTGGCAGCCTCTCCTTGTGACTTGGAGCCAGCAGTTTCTGCTGGATGCCTGATGCAACACCAGGACAGTCCCCAGGGTCACAGGGACAGTAAACCATGGGTCTCCCACGCTGATGTGGTTTTGCCTGTCCTAGTTGAGGTAGATGAATTGATCCTCTTACTGCAGCTCTCTCACAGGCTTTGCCGTCCCCTTCTGCACAGGTAATCCAAGAGACCAGTGGTCTGCTCTGTGAAGGAGGCAGTGAAGGCAACCAGTACATCCCAGACTCACAGCGTCTCAGTTACCCAAAGGTACATCTTGTCTCTACAGACAAAACTAGCACTCAGGCTTTCCAGCCCTATTCCTTCAATAGATAGTATGTAGGTGCCTTAATTTTAGGTAAGCAGACTGATATGAGTGTAACCAGACCCCTGTGCTGCTGAAAAGGAGCATTCTTGGAACCACCTTAATTTTCCTTTACATCTTAATTTTGTTGCCATATCTTCCCTCCCAGACTAGCTCAGCATTTGGCTACCCACTGTCCAGGGCAGCAGCTGCTCTCTCATCCAATGGGATGGTTGTGTTCACCAAGAGCTTGGGGAGTGACATAGACCCTTGGATGCTCGGGCTTGGGCCATTTCTAGCCCAGATTTAGGTGACAGTCCCCTGGGAGCAGCTTGTTCCAGAACAGTGGGAGGACAAAGATACTTTGCTAAGTCTCTGGTGGACACCCAAAATTGACCTGTTGGGGCACCTGGCTGGTTCCTCTGCTCATGGCCCCTACAGGGACTGTCAAATGTCCCCACCAGCCAGGCTGCAGGGTTCGAGGCCATAGGGTGGCACCAGTGGTGCCACTGTGTCCCCTCAGAGGTGAGCCCAGCTGGGGTGGGGCATGTTCAGGATCAATGGGAAGGGCACAGTGTGAGTGAGCTGGCTGGGGATGTCTGGGTGAAAGCATCTGCTGCAGAGAGAGTGGGACCTCATAATATGAGAGAAGGGGAAAAAGGTCCTTGCAGCATGTTCTGGCTGGAAGAATGAGTCACCTGCATCTGTGGAGCTTGTGCCTGGTGCTTGTTGACAGGTGGAGGTGTCCGAGAGATACTCTGCAGCCTCCGAGAGTGGGAGCAGCACCGACGGCCACACTGACACAGCTGAGACAAAAGATGGTAAAACTTTGCCCTGGGAATGACAGAGAACACGGGGCCTTGACCCTGCATGGGGCCAGGGCTTCTGTAGCTCCTGCCAGTGCCACCTCAGACCTGATGGAAGTTGTGTGTGCATTCATTGCCTGGGAATTTGATATTCTTACCTGTTGGTTCCATGAGCTCATTCACACACTGACTGATGGGAGAATGTTGAAGAGGCCCTTTGGACACAAACTTTCCCCCCTCCCACTTTGTGTCCCTGTTTTAGAGAGGAAAAGACTTGAATACACTAAATATTTATGGGTAATGGTTCTTAATTAAATTGTTCATGGTGTAAGAAAGTGAAGGGAGGTTGGTACCTGTCCAGCAAGAGCTATGCAAGTAACTCCCACTGCTCCTGCAGTGACTGGCCTTGGGTCAGAGCCAGCCCACGTGTAAAGCAATACAGATTAGCATCTTCCACAAATCTCTAACTGATCTTACTGGTGCCATCTTGCTCCTGCACACCCTGGGCTTTGCACTTTTTCAGCCTGTCCCTGAGTTGCAGATTTGCCCTCTGCAAGGGATGTATGTGAGATGGGGGCAGGACCCTCAGCTGGGACAGCAGGCTGGGAGCTGGGAAAGCCACACAGGTGTCTTTTTCATTTCTGGTAGTTAAGAAGAAGGGCACAACTGGCCTGAAACTGAGCAACCTGATGAACCTCGGGAGGAAGAAGTCCAGCTCCATGGATAGCCCAGAGAGATCCCTGGAGACTTCAAGTAAGTGGCAGCATGAGCCCCTCTGCAGGATTTGTTTCAGGGCTGGATCTCAGTGTGCAGGGCAGGATGAGCACCAGGCATCCTCCTCCTCAAACGTGCCTGTGCCAGGTTGTCCTGCCAGTAAATCCATGCGGATTGTGGTGCCTCTGGCTCTCAGGGTGACCCAAGAAGAAGAGTGGGTAATACCAGACATGCCCACACAGGGCATTTGTGCTGCCCAGGGTGTAGGAGCCTGCAGGGAGAGTTCTGAGCGTCCGCTTGTATTTACCACCTGGAACCAACTTTTTCCAATCACCTCTAGCCAGCTTGCTGCTCCAAACCTATCCCGAATTTCAAGGGTCTCATTTTCAAGGTTTTTACCTGTTTTGTATGGATAGGACGGCTTGTCTTTTCTTTTGGTGTTTTTTGGTGCCTGTGGCTTTGCATTGTGTGGTGATCTCATAACTTACTCATTAGAAATCCCCAGGCACACAAATTCATGTGGATTAAATGGAAAATGTGTCTAAGCAATCTGTGCTTACTTGTAGGTTACCTGAATGTGCTGGTGAACAGCCAGTGGAAGTCACGGTGGTGTCAGATAAAGGATGGGCACCTCCATTTCTACCAGGACAAGAACAGGAGCAAACTGGCTCAGCAGCCCCTGAGTTTGGCAGGCTGTGAAATCATCCCCGAGCCGAGCCCTGACCATCTTTACTCCTTCCGCATCCTGCACAACGGGGAGGAAAGGGTTGTTTTGGAGGTAAGGTGTATGTCTCTGAGAAGGCTCTGCCTAAAATCATCAGCTTGGGTACCTTGGGAAGTCTGAATGCCAGTGAGTTCCTCCAGAGGAGCCTCAGTCCAGCAAAGCAGAACCTGAAGAGCAGGACTTGAGTTCATCTGCCTGTGGTCATCTGCAATGTGTCCCACCTCGCTGGTAATCCAGGCTGTGTCTGATGCTGGCACTTACTCACATTCAGCCTCCATCTTAGGCACTTACATTAGGGTGGGACATGGGGTCCTCTGGACATTCCCATCTCTCTCCCCTGACTGCAGGATAACCTTGGATAATTAAGTTCTGTGGAGGGCATTGCAGATGGTTAATGTTAGATGAGCAGAATGCCACTTTAGGGATTTAAGGCTGTGGTTAGGAGGAACAGAGAACTTCATCTTTTGACAACAGAACGCCAAAGCCATGGGTCACACATCCCAAGTAAGCCTAACACAGATCTGCCCCTGAAAGTGCAAGTGAATTCATCTCCATCTGTTACTTTCTTTTGCCTGCATCCAGGATTGTTTATCTCTAATCTTACTTCTCTCTGACGACAGCATGATTATAGTAGGAGGTGGACAATGTGAGCAATTTCCTGTATTTTTCCAGTGGGTGGAATATTTATAGCTAAACAACTGACTTGGAGGGCATGCCGTGAAATTGGAAGATGTTTTTGTTTAGTTTGTGATTCAGGGCATGTCTGTACCTAAGAAATTTTGCCCAATTACAGATGTGAAGAAGAGGTGCTGAGAAAATTTACATTTTGTGAATGGGAGAATCTGTATTTTGTTGGGATGTCAGACTCAATGTCAGACTCAGTGTGCGGACTGGCTGGCTGGCAGGCTTCCCAGGGACTGAAGTCTCTGCTAAATAAAACAGACTGAAAGCTTAAAATATACTTCCCAGTTTGGAGAGTGTATATATATATATATATATTCACTTGCCCTGAATTTTACTTTGTGGTTACTGCTCTGACTCCTCAAATCAATGCAAAAAGTGGCTGCATCAGCCAACTTCTTGCTTCAGGTGGAGTCCCTTGCACTGGGAGGTGCATGTGGCTATTTGCTTCAGCTGACTTCATGGCACAGAATTTAATTCTTCATGTTGCAAAATGTCAGACTGTTCTCTGCCACTGGGAATTGGGTACTGACCATGATAAAGCAACTGACTCGGATGCTTTAAGCTCTTCCCTTCTCCTCTCCCCTTTGTAAAGAGCCGTGGAAATGGTTTGTGCTCTGGCAACGGGACCTCGAAGGCTCGGGTCTCCTTGTCTGTTTTGGCAATCCCATTGCTGCACTCTGCTGGTACAAAATAAAACCCGCACACTTTCCTCACCCAAAGCTGCTCCCTGCCAGCACCTCTCGCCCCAGAGACTTCCCTGAGTTGATCACCCCTGAAAGGAAAATGGAGACTGACTAGAAATTTTAGGAAGGAGCAGGGCAAAGAGCTGCATTTATGCAGCTGCCAAATTTTTGAATCAGTCCACACATAGAGCTGTACTTTTAACGTAGCCTTGGGTTTATTATAAATACCCAGCAGTTTCCTCTTTGCCCTTGGAAGTCCAGAGGATTGCCAGCATGCTTCCCTACCCAATCTAAGCCAGCATCAGCCCTGTGAGTGCAGAGAAGGCACTGCTGCAACCTGTCTGTCTGTCTGTCTGATCACCCTGCAGGCAAAGTCCTCAGAGGAAATGGGCCACTGGCTGGGCCTCCTCTTGTCAGAGTCAGGCTCGAAAACAGACCCAGAGGAATTCACCTACGATTACGTGGATGCTGACAGGGTTTCCTGCATCGTGAGCGCTGCAAAGAATTCCTTCTTGTATGTCACTGGTAATGGGTTGGGGCTGCGTGGGGCTGGTAGAGAGAAAGCAAACCAGAGCAGGGGGCTCTCCCCTTGTGGGAGGTTGGCTGCCATGGAAGGAGGTGGTAAACTCACAGCTGAAGCTCAGTCACTTTCTTTTGGGACTGCAGAGCACTTCCTGTCCCACCAGAGTGCATCTGGCATGAGCTGCAGCTTGCCTGAGTGTCTACTGCAAAAGCAGGTTGGGCTCTCAGCCCCCCAGTCCATCCTGCCCCTGGGGCAGGGTCACTGTGCTGCTATGGCTGAGGGCTGGGCGGGAAGGCAAAGAGCCAAGGGGAAATACAGTCACCACCACTCTAGTGGGTGCTGCTTAAGGGGCAGCAGCAGCAGTGACCACTCTGCTTTGTGTGGCTCTGCCTTCTCCTCTGCTGCACCTGACCTTGCCCGGACCTCAGGACTGCTGTTCTCAGGTGTCCAAAATTGCAGCACTGCAGAGCCATGCAGCAAATCCAGTCCCCCTGATGGGATTTCCTGCTGCCTGTTCACAGCCTAATGCAGAGGAAATACTCTGAGCCCAACGCCTACATCGACAACCTGCCCAAGGGCAGGGTGCAGCAGGACGAGCTCTACGATGACGTGGATCTGCCAGACCTGCCTGTGGTAAGACATGCCCTGCTGCAGGGAGCTCTGGGGGGACCAGGGCAAACATCTGGGCACTGCTGGGAGTTTCCAGCACTGAAAGGCGGGTGTTTCCCAGCACTGCTGAAGGGGATTCCCAGCCCCTGGGGAAATCCTGGTCTTTGCAATGGAGCAGAATCAAGTGGTGGAGAGGAGTTGCTAAGGAATGGGAGAGGGATTTCCAGAAAGGGGCTGTATGGATCCTCAGGCAGCTGGGATAAAATTCCATAGTAATCATCAGCAAACAGCATGGACTGTTTGGTGATAGTGGGCTTTTTGGAGTCTAGCCTTTCAAAACTCCTTTTTATGCTTGTAAGAGCAAGTCCTGTGTGAAAGGACAATGGGTCATGCTGGGAATGGGACTATTACCTCAGGAAAGGCAAAGAATGTGGCATGGATTGCTAGATGTACAACAGTGTGATATCTTTGTGTGGGCTGCTGCCAGCATCAGAGAGACCTATTGAAGGAAAATAGGAGAGGCCTTCCTTTCAGTACTTCAAAAATCCTCTGGGGAATGACTCTGAGACTAGCATTTTAGCTCCTCTAAGATTTTTGGAAAATACTCCAGATTGCCTGAGATGTGCTGCTCTGCAGTGAGATGTTTCATGTACTTCTAGTTGCAGCAGATGGTCTCTTTTGCAGGAAGAAGTGCCCAAGAGTGAGAGCAAATCAGAGGGGGATCAAGACAGAGTGTACCTGGATCTCACCCCAGTGAAGTCCTTGCTACACTGTGCTGGCAAGATGTCCTGCCAGTCTTCACCCCTCAGCTCACCATCTCTAGAAAGGGCTGCCAAGGCTGCCCCAGAGAGCACAGCTGAGACAGCCCCCATGGCTAAGGAAGCTGAGCCCTGTACTAAGTCAGCAGAGACCTCAGAGCAGGTACTGTCCAAACTGTGATGCCAGGCCAGGCTTAATCACTGAGCCAGTTCCCTACACCTCATCATCCCACTTCATTTCTCCTTTCCAGAAACACCCAGAGAAGCCAGAGCCCGAGGAGGCTCTGCCACGGGTGCCTGCTGTCAAAATCCAGACCCAGCAGCAGAACACTGCCTTCCCCCAGGTGGCTCCCGAGGTGCCAGCGGGCACAGTTCCAGTGGGCAGCCCCCAGCTGGTGCCTGCACACCGGCCCAAGATGCCACTGCCAGGTGAGTGTGCTGCTCAGGAGGCCCAAGGGTTCATAAAGAGAGGTGGTGCCCTGTGATTTCGGCTTGCCTCTGCTCTACAGCAGTCTGTGTGCTCGCTGAAGTGGTTGGTGACTTTTCACACCTTGCCTTGTTTTCTTTTCAAGCACCTGAAAAGGTTTTCTCCCTCTTGCTTTTTTCCCCCTGACTGAGCTTGTTGGTGGGCTGTGTTTCCAGCAGCAGTGGAAACCAAGCTGGGCAAGAACAGGACAGAGGCAGAGGTGAAACGGTTCACAGAGGAGAAGGAACGGCTGGAGAAGGAGAAGGACGAAATCCGAGCTCAGCTCACCCAGCTGCGCAAGGAGAGACGGGAGCTGAAGGAGATGCTTGGTGGCAGCACAGGTAGAGCAGGGCAAGGTGGGATGTGTGCAAATGAGCCAAGGTGGGGCTGTGGAGAAAGAGGGGGCAATGAACCTGGCCCTCCTGGCACCAGAGGAGATGGGGAAAACCTGGTGCTTTGAGCCAAACTACATAAACCAGATTGCACTAGTGCAAGAGCCAGAGTTCCTCTTGGGGCAAAACACAAGGAAAATGTACAGGACATGCCCTGATCCCTGCTCCCCTCGGGAGCTCCCCAGATTCCCAGCAGGCACCAAGATTCTTCTCCCCTCACAGACAAGAGCCTGGAGCAGAGGCTGAAGGAGATAGATGAAGAATGCAAAAGGAAGGAAAGCCAGAGGGTGGACCTGGAGCTGAGCCTCGTGGAAGTGAAAGAGAACCTGAAGAAGGCCGAGTCCGGCCCAGTGACTCTGGGCACAGCTGTGGACACCACACACCTGGAGAACACAGCCCCACGGGTATGTGGGGCACCCCTGGGATGCACAGCAGCTTTCAGTCACACAGTCTCAGCCTGCTTAAAAATGTCACAATTAATAATAGCATCATTAGTGTAATATACGATCTTGTGTAAATGTATAGCTTAATGTATGTATTATTATATATGTAATATATATAATATAATAATAATCCAATGAGGTATCAGCAGTAAGGGGGAAGTGAAAGGAGGACGGGGCTCAGGAGAGGGGTTGTATTTTCCTGTGGGACCTTGAGCAAAACCCTCCAGAGCCATGCAGGTCTGGGACTCAGCTCCTTCTACACTTGGCTGAGCTAAGGGATGGTTTTTGCAGGAGGAGATTCAGGAATCTAAATTCCTTCTTGGAACTTGTTTCCCATGAACTGGAGATCTCCACCACCTGCACCCTGCTCTGTATCTCTAGTTCTAGAGTCCTCAAAACCCAAACACACCACAAACTCCTGTCGTGTTTTTTTGAAATTGGTATGTCACTTAAAAAATGTAAATCCATGAAAATGGGATGACACTGTGACTGGGAGGTGGTAGGAAAAGGCAGCAGTCTCTGCCAGTAGTCTGTAGTGATAACCATTTCCATGATTTTTATTGTAGGTTCAGGCAAAAAGTGCCAGTGCAGCAAACAGCGCAGAGAACTCGCCGGTCAATTCAGCAACGGCTTTAAAAAACCGGCCTTTATCTGTTATGGTCACAGGGAAGGGAACAGTCCTACAGAAAGCCAAGGTAAGGTACAGCAGGAAAATCCATCTGGGACAGCCACTGCTTTTCCCTTCTGGCAGTGGAGCAAACTGGCTCTGGTGGGATGGGGTTGTGGGGGGGTGTCATGTCTGGGAATCACTCTTGACCAACACAATTCAGAGCACATCAGCCTGGTTTTCCTCTACTCTTTGCACCTGTGTTTGCCTTGCCTACAATTTAAATGAATGAATATATGCATTGTTTATAACTTAAAGATATCCCCGACCCACCCTGCAGCCAAAGCCACTTGGGGACCAGACGCTCATGTTGGTCCCGTGCACATTATGGCTGCTGTGGCTTGCCTGATTTGCATTTCGACTAATTTGCCTTTATTCCTTGGCAGGAATGGGAGAAGAAGGGAGCTAGTTAGAAGCACATTGTTCAGAGATGGACTAAAGACTCGAATTGCCCACGCATGGCCCAGGGGATTCAACCATCTGTCGGTGGAGGTTGGGTGTTCAACAGCCCCACACACCAAGTGCCTCCTCCACGGCGCGCCCGCGGCTCCGACGCAGCGCTGGAGTCAACAGCTGCTGATACCACTTATCCCAAATGAACTTCTTCTTTCCAGACAAATCCCAATCGTGTAGCTAAAACAATAACAACCAGTGGCAATCCTTCCATCAAAGTCCTAACCCAGCTGATGTAAACAAGAATGTTACTGTAAATAGGGGTGTTTTGTGTATTTCTACTCTGAAGGTTTATCAATGAGTTATTAAGGTTTCTATATTAGTGACTGTAGTGGATTCAGAAGGGACCTCTGCTATTCCTCAGCCTGGTGAGTTTGTATCTGTCCTGATAAATTTGAGTCAACTAAAGTCTCACCTGTCTTGCTGCCAGTCATCACTCAGCTGCATTTCATCCAGCCTTCAGTCAAGGGCTATCCCCACATGTGAGCAATGCTTCAAACATGAATAAGAAAAGGCCTGTCCAGGGCATTTTTAATCAGTGTCCTGGTGCATTTCCAGCATCTCCTACCAGCTCCAGCTTTGCTAGAATATTGAGCTGCTTACCTTCTCATGCTGTAAGATGTGTTACAGACTGGAGGCACCAAGAGCTCTGGGCAAAGAAGATCTGCCAGGCAGATTCAGTTAACTTTCTTGAAGTTCTTACTTTACCTAAGGAGTTTGTTCTTTAAAAAAAAAAAAAAAAAGTCATATTTGAGGGCTTGCTCAGCTGTTTCATGGGAAAGTTGGATCCCAGTGTACCCTTCAGGGGTTGTTGCCCTTTCCCAAGAGATGGGAGGTAAAGCAGTCCCCATGCTCCTGCCCCAGCTGTGATGGTGTCTGATCCTCACACAGCTGCAGCTGAAGCCATCCCTATGCCCCTGTGTCCTCCACACTGGGGGGGCTGAGCAGCCTGCCCTGGTAAGGCTGCACTGCCAGGGCTCTGCTGAGCTGCTGGCCATATTGGTGCTGTCACCCTTATTTCCTGATCATTAGTACTGCCTTTGGGTCCTGGCAGTATGGCCCACAAAGCCAACCCCTCTCTACCCTAGACATGCTTTCTAATGAAAGATGTTGGATGTTTGGAACTGCTAAACTTAAGAGAAATTGAATTTCGAAGGGTGGTAGTGGGTTGGCAGGAATCTACACACTCCTCCCCTCCCTGTAACATGCTGACATGTCTGAGGGCCTGGAGACACCTTTTCCTGTCTCCTCTGATGGCCCTTCAGCGCCCAGGCTCAGGAACTGGGTTGACTGGATGGGCCTGGACATGTTTTCCAACCCTAAAAGTTTAAGCAGCACCAGTTTCCAGGATGGGTTGTCCCTGGGGTCCTATGGCTACACTAAAGCCGAGGTAAAGGCAGACAGGAAAAATGTTGTACCCTCCTCACCCTTGAAAAAATTTGACAGGCCTGAGACCACCTCTAGAGGGCTGTTATTTCTTCACACAAAGAACACACAAAGGTCAAACAGCCAGTGGGATGCACAGGGCTGTGACAGCCAGAGCTGGTGGTGTCATTGGGGTGAGTGAGAATATCCTGACAAGGTTTCTGGGCTTGCTCCCCCCCACCACAGAGCCAGGGTGCAAAAAAACACTTGGTCATGGATCCTGGAAGCAGGAAACGTGACCATGCTCCCATGGTTTTTTTACTCTAGTTTCCACTGTGGTGCAGATAGAGGAATTGCTAATGCCAGCCCTCAGGAGCCTCGGCTGTCAGGTTGTCCCTGTGCAAGGTTTTGCACATAGGAAAAAATCATGCAAATAAACTGCTGACTCTTCTGGTTCAGGATCCTGGGGACTTCCTTCTCCAGAGCACCAGAAGGCCACAGGCTCCATGAAACTTTTGTTTTGGCCCATCCTGAGCTGGCAAGAGCCCCTCTCTATACCCTAAATATCTGTGTAGTACCACACCTCACCATACACCCCGCTGTCATCCTCCACAAGTTGTCCAGACATTTCACAGTGTTACTGAGACAGCGATGGACAAGAGCAGCTCTGCTTTCCCCTTCACAGCCCAGTCAGCTTCAGTGGTCTGGTCCTGCTGGGATGGCTCCATGAGGGAATGGTAAACACAGGCAAGTCCTGAACACACTTTCCCCAGACAAGAAATGTTAAACAATGTCTCTGTGTCCCCATTGTTTTCCTAACTCAAGGCATTTCCTTTGTTGTAACTGTGACCTATAAAGTGGCGCTTTAGAGGGTTTTATAATAAAATGTTGAGTATATTATGTTACCAGTGTTTTTCTCAGTAATGGGGCTTGTCCCTACTTCACTTTCCAATAGATTACAAGTACACCAAACCCCCAATACCCTTAGTTACTACAAATCCTTAGCTGTGCAGTCTACAACTGCAGTGAACTGTAGCTTAAATAGTAGTGATTGCAGAATCAAGCAAAACAATTTTCAGAGATCTAACCCACTGAAAAATAGCACTAACCCCGACAATTTACATGAATGTATGTAAATACATGTAAATACATGTCCTGCCTGTATTTCTGTAGCAGTCCTCTTGCACAGAGCCAGCAGTGAAAAACCTTCCACTATCTTCCTCTGGCCACTAGATAGCAACTGTGTGCAGGCTTAGTGCCTGCTGCAGTCTGAGAGAAAACCAGGATGGGCTTTAGCTGGAAAGGAAGGAAAAAAGTTATTAAACAGTTGAGGCTTCACAAAACAGACACCAAAACAGACACATCTGTGAAATATCTCTTGCTGGCCCCACTCCCACAGAAAGGTTGGGGAGGCACTGTAGCTACAGCACAAATTCCTGGGCAAAGTCCCACTCCCTGGCCTCTCCTAGCTCAGCCCTTGACACAAACCTGCCAAAGAGGTCCTTAGTGTCCTGTCAGCCTCTGAGCCCAGGAATCCCCAAATAACTCCATTTGGGGGGCTGGTTCTGTGCACTGAATGGACAGCAGCAGCAGCAGCTGCTTTTGTCCTTCCCCAGCATCGCTGCCCCATTGCCTATAGCTGCTCTGGAACACCCCTGTACCAGCTCCAGCTGATAAAGTTCCTGCTTTGTTCATCATTCCAGTGCAATCCTCTCCTGTGCACACTGCAGCCAGGCCAACACGGGGCCTGAAGTGCCCCAAGCAGAATTCCATATTCTTCTGGAAGGAAATTTTCTGCTACAAACCATTTTTCTTAGTGAGTTTCTCACTTAAGTACCTCCATATTTCTTGCTCTGGATACACAGAACAATCCCACAAAAGCTCCTGGGTGTTCCTGACTAGCACACCAAGGTTGCTAGCAGGCTGGTTGATTTTCCAGCAAAACAGAAGTGGCAGATTTGAAAGGAAAAAAAACCTATCTCCTATCAGTGGAAAAGTTGGCCTGAATGTTTATATAAGATGTCTCAGCTGTCAATCAAATTAATTTACTTCTACTGCAGAGTGAGACTGCAGGGGGTTTTGAAGGTGGAGAAGGCAGCTGGCTTTACAGGGAGCATCAGCAGACTCCTGCAGGCTGGCCTTGGCTTTTGGTATGCAGGGAGAACAGCACAGTGGGATCAAACCCCAGCTTCCCTGCTGCAGCCTTTACAGCACAGGTGCCATTCAACATTTACTTACCACAAACAGGCACGGTTTTTCTTGCTGAAGGAATGTAAGACTAAAGGGGGTGAAAACCGTGGCATTTACTTACATCCCATTTCTTTAAAGGAGAAACAGGCTTTCTCCTGGAATCAGTACATGGCCCTGGACCAGCTAAAGCTCACCCAGCAGTGAGAGTAATTCACAGCTCCATTAGTAACAGCAGCCCAGACACTAATGACAATCTGGCACAGACAGCATCCTCTGAGCTCCTCTGATGCCAGACAGGATTAGTGCTGGCGTTGAGGGTCCCCACCTCCTCAGTGCCTGTGCCAGCCTCAAATATTGACCCAGCTTTAGAGGAATGAGCTCCCATCAGGTAAAGTCTGATTAAATATTTCTGATTGAATCAAGGCAGGTCTTTGAGAGTGAATTTAATAAGAGATCATGTCAGAGACCCAAACCACTTACTTACTTACTTACTCTTTTTTAAATTAAAATTTACAAGAGAAAGGGCCTAGAAATTAGCCAGGAACTTCAAGTCAAATTTTTTAAAAGAAAAAGAAAACAGCTCAAAAAACTTCTCTTCAGTGTCCTGTTTGCCTGTGGGTCTCTCCAAGACCATCCCATATATCCTAATTATCAGGCTGGCTTTTCCCATCTCCTCCCAATGCCCCATGACCTTCTTACCTTGCAAAGTGCTTTGTCACACACAGAAGGAGAGCTGGTGGCTGCTGATGCCAGATAATGTCCGAACATCTATCCAAGGCTTCAGGAATCACCTGCTTTTAGGAGGAATGCCAGGATGAAGGTCACAGCACATGTAGATCCCTGATATGTGGGGATCCCTGGGGCACTCTGGGCACGGAAACCTCAGCCAGATGTACTCAGAGCCCAAAAACTGGGTTTAGAAACCAGCTTTCTTGAGCTACTCCATGAGTTTCCAATTTCTCACACCATTTCTACCTGACAAACTGATGCACAGAGATAAATAAATCCTGTCCAGCATTAAAACGTTGTCTCCAGCATGAGCTTTTGCAGTCTGTGGTTCCCGAATCACACAGAGATATTTGTGTACCTGTGGTGCTTAAAACCAGCAGGATGGTAAAAATGCAGGGTTTCCCCAGCCCAGGACCCAGGCAAGCCTGCTTTGTCCCTCATACAGTCCACACATGCTAAAAATATACTTAATACCTGTGCATTAAAATAAAGAACTCACAAACAGATTACACCACATCACATTAGCCACAAGATAAAGTGCTCAGCAGCAGCACTGTACAAACTGTCCTGCACACAGCATAAGGAAAAGGCTTTTAGCACTTGCAGAAGGCCAGGAAGGCACGTCCCAGCTCCAGAGCTGTCCCAGGCAATGTAAATACTCTGCTGTTTGACAGGGTGGGCTGATCCCACAGGGGACAAATGCCTGTGAGGAGTGAGCTGATGACACTGTCAGGCAAAAGATGGCAGAGAAACCCCCAGGGGGCTGCAAACCCAGCAGGGCAGCAGAGTGACAAGAGGGGTCCCTTGGACCCTTCACACAAATGAGGATGCACAGGGAGCTTTGGAGAGCAGCCTGGCTGGAATCCAGGTAGCTCCACAGGCACTTCTGCACCAGAGCATGAGCCACATCTTCGGTGTGAGTCTGATCAAGCCCATTCTCCCCACATGAAGAGAAGATTGACAGGTTAACAGCAGAGGCAATGCTGAGCTACAGCCATGCCTAAGTAACATTAGTAGATTCGTTTCCCTTTGTATCCCAAATGTCAGCCCTTCAACTAAGCCTCTATTCTGCTGTGCCTTAGGACACAGACAATCTACCAAAGTGACAGTGAAAGAAAGCAGAATTTCCTCTTTCTCCTAGCCCGGTTTCTCCCACAAGGCAGGACAGTGCTTCTCCTGTCTCAGTGCCAGCTTTCATCCCTGAGAGTGCTTTCAGTCCATTCTTCTTTTGACAACAAACCTGCTGAGCAATTTGTGTCTCTCTTTGTCCATCTAATGTTACTATTCAAACACGGGACCAGGACATCTGGGTGAAGGATTTTTCTTCTGCTGGGAACAATAGACACTATTCTCATTTGCACTGGCAGTCACAGTTAATATCTCTGCCTTGGTTCTCTGCAGACCTGGTTGTGCTCTCCTGAGGTGACAGACACCATGGGAAAGTCAGCAGA